CTGCGCCCACCTGCCCGGCCGGGGACCCCCAGCGGAGCCTGGGAGGAAGGCTCGGGCTGGCAGGTGCCACGACCGCCGAGCGGGCGGGCGAGGGCCAGAGTAGGCACCCACGTTCCCGCCCTCTGAGCCGCTCCGGAGAGGGGGTGGGAGGAAAGGGGAACAGAGGGTCACCCCGGGGTACCGCGGGCAGATCCGTTCGGCGCGGGGATGACGATGTGTTGGCCCCGCGAACACTCTATGAGCGCCCCCTGGGTACCCAGGCGCGCGAGCTGCGGGCGGGGAATGTGCTCGGGTCTCTGCCCACTAGGGCCGCCAGACTGGGGAGGTGAGATGGGACAGCGACGTTCGGGGTGGCCCGGTGAGAGCCGTGCGGGTGGGGGACCTGCCGGAGCTTCTGTGGGTGGCACAGCCAGGGTCTGGATCGTGTTCGATTGCCGGGCATTGCGGGCGGGTCAGCCTGGGCAGTTCAAGGGACGGGTGTTTGCACCACCCTAGGGACGTGGAGAATGGATGCCTTGTCCTCCCCACCCTCCCGCCCCGTGCTGCACCTGTGCCCGTGGGTTCCCCTGGGTGGGGGTGAGGTGGGTGACCGGTTGGGAAGGTTTGTGCGGTTCTCCTGCGCTGCCTGAGCCCGCCCTGCACTGGCGTTTGCGTCTCAGCACATGGCGGGGACTTCGGGGACAGGCAGCAAACATAAAAGACCGGCCTCTCTCCAGACGTTGCTGTCCCCGGCATCCCCCACACCCCGTGGCAGGGAGGGTAGGTAGAGTTCAGCTGTGACTCTCCGTCCTGTAACTCACGAGACACTCCGGATCTTCAGTGGGCCCCTGGGCTGATTTGATGTGTCCCCCACTGGACAGTCAGCTCTTTGATTGCGGACAGAGTCCAGCTCCAGGCCTTTGACCCTTGGCTCCCTACAACTAGCGTGGTGCCTGCACACAGTGGGGCACAGCATGTGTTTGCAGAAGGGGTCAATGAAGAGGCTCGGGCCACTGAGGCTAGGGAACATTCCTGGAAGCATATCACATCAGATTCAAAACGGGCAGAGGCCCAGAAGGGGGGAGTCTGCCTCTGCAGGGCACACAGCAGGCATCCTGTAAATACTTTCTGAATGAACGCGTGCAGAACTCAACAGCGCCCGCACCTCCACGTCCCAAACCAGCCAGGGTGACGGGATAACCATACAGAAAGAAGGAAAGAGAGCAAATTGGGACCAGAGGCTTAAATGTAAACGCTGAAACGGAGCCATGCGGGTTCTATGAGAAGGTGCAGGTGAATTCTCCAAGAACCGGTGAGAACAGGAAACATTTCCAACTGTGTCTTGAAATCCAGATGCAATAGAGTTTTTAAAAAAAGAAAGAAAAAAACCACCACTGGTGAAGAAAAAGAGACAACTGACAAGCTGGGAAAAGTATTTGCAATTTCCATCCCAGGAAAAGGGTTAATATCACCGGGAACATCTAAAACCAAGAGAAAGAAGATGATACTAGCCTGTGGGAAGGCGGGTGAGAGACAGGAACGGTTCACAAGAAGACAGAGGGGTTTGTGGCCTTTGTACTTATGAAAAAACGATCAACAGGAAAACGCAAATTAAAAGTGCACTCTGATTCCAGTGCTCACCTATCTGATTGGCAGAACTCCAGGCATGGGAGGGCGCACTCCGAGGGCCAGGCCGGGAGCGGGCACCCTACTCTGGTGGGAAGGGGATTCCGGCCGTACTAGCAAGAGCCCATGTACCGTGTGACCTGGAAATCCTGCTGCTGGCGACTAACCCAAAGATATGTCGGAAGAAGAGAAGAGGATACACACACAAGGCTGTTTATCCCAATGCTGCGTGTACTAGTGACAGGTGAGAGACAGCCACAGTTGGTTGCAATGGGCTACGGGACAGCCACACAATGGAGTGTCACGATCTGTGTTATGACTAACGTTCAAGGGACAGAAGGAACCCAGTGAATCGTATCGTGAGTAATGATACTGGCATCGTGATTTTGAAGTGACGTGTGTACGTGCATCTATCAAATACATAGTCGTGTTAAATTCGTCTGGACCCAGATTTTCAGTGGAAGAGAAAAGAGACACAGATATAAAAATCAAAGGAGTGAAGGACAGACCAGTCCTTACATTTGAATTGGAAATGTTTGCAGAACTCCTAAGCTCCTTCGTCTTGACATTATTTCCTAGAGCTGCCCACTGAAAAGTTTTAGAAGAGGCTGATCAAAAACAGGACAATTGGAGCATCAAAAAATAATTATGTACTAAAACATATCAAATACCTTAGATGCCCATTCCTTCGTAAGATACTGAAAAGCGCTCATCAGCTGTTTGCCAGTTGCTTGGCTCATTATTCTGAAAACTAGTGGAAAAGGGAAAGGCTCAAGCAGGCACCTGCCTACCCTGGATGAACCGACCGCCAGGGTGAGAAGAGGCCCCGCCTGCTAGAGGTGCGCACGGAGGAATTCCCGGGTAGTTATGTGCTGCGTGCAGATTGCTCGGAAATAACGAGCGGAGAGGGTGGGGAGTCGGGTCGAGAGATTAAACAACACGGCTCTGAACTGGAATTGTAGAAGCTGGGTAGCGAATACTCTGTTCGTTAACTTTTGTGTATGTTTCTGTATTTTAAAAATTATACTAACTAGCTGCCCAAGCACCCCTGGGGCCAGTCAGAGAAGTCATTAGGGCTTTGGGCCAGGCTGGGCTTTGGGCGAGGCCATGCCCTGAGCTGTGCAGGAGCCTGCTGTGGGGGTCCAGGGCCCCATTGGCTTGGGGGACACTGAGGCAGGTGGACAAGGGCTGGCTGCAAGCTTTCCGCAAGCTCCAAGGAGCTGGGGAAGGGCACGAAGGGCTGGTGGTGGGGATGGGCTGAGAGGGAAGGGCACGGCCAGGTACGCAGGTGCGGTAAGGTGGGGCCAGGCTGGGTTAGGGCTCAGGTGAGGCCGAGAGCTGAGGGTGGGGTGTGAGCAGATAGAGGTGAGGCCTGCTCCTTGATGGGAGGCAGGGCCCGACCCGGCTCAACCGCTACTCTCTGGGCTGGCAAGGGGCTGAGGAGGCCCCGCAGGTCGGTCAGCAGAAAGGAGAGAAATCTCTGATAGTGAGAGTGAGTGGCTGGCCTGAAGCCACGGGAGGGTCCAGAACTCTGGACGGTGGGAGCAGGGTCCCAGGGTCCCACTCTGCCGGCTGCCACCTGCTCCCTCCAGGACAAGCCCTCCGCTGAGGAAGGCCCCTCCTGCCACCTGTAGCCCCTTGTCAGTCTTTCTGGGTGCACGGTCCATCTGACACTGGTTGTTCTGGAGCAGAGGCTGACAAACCTACCTGGCGGGGCATGGACATGGAAGCATCCCTCTCCCTGCCTTTCAGGCCCCCAGGCTGTCTCAGGTCCTTGGAACATTCTGGAAACAGGGTGCCTGCCCTACCATATGGCAATTTTCCGGGGGCTCTTTGCCAATATCTCTCAGCTCACTTGACTTACCCCACATTTCTTGGGCAGGGTCAGAGGCCAACAGTGGGAGGAGCCTATGAGGTCACCAAGAACACATGAGGAAAGGGGAGACTGAAGCTCGTCAAGGCAAGGATGCATGGCCGCTGTGAGGACAGTGCCCATGGGCTGGGGTGGGCTGCTGGGGCAGCCAGGCCACCAGGGACTTCTTGGCTGGCATCATCCTTCAGCGTGGCTCCTCATTCATTCATTCATTCATTCATTCCTCAGATCCTCCCTGAGCAGCACCTGTATGCTAGGCACTGTTCTACACTCTGCCCATAGAGCTGTGTGCAAGACCACCGGCTGGCGGTGAGTGAGATAAAAAAAAAACTAAGGGGCAAGTGATGGGGGGTGATCAGTGGGGGCTCTGGGGAGAGTCTCTACAGAGACCCTTCCAGTGGGCCCTTCAGCTAATCCAGGAGGTATTTGCTGTCAGAAGACTCTGCATGCAGTAGGCGCTCAATACAGAATAGCTGGACGGCTAGGCGGCAGTGGGGGGAGAGATGTAAGGACAGGTGTGCCTCCCTTCCAGCTCAGGCTGGTGAGTGTCTCCTTCTGGCTGGCGGATGTCCCTGTGGATGTGATGCCCCAGCAGTAGGGCAGGGCCAGCCGTCCCCCATTTTTGCCCCTGTTCTCGATCCTAGTCCCAGGCAGCTCCTGGCACATCCTCACCTCGCCTAAGCCACAACCACCTGCCCCCATATGCGCATAAAGACCTGTCACCTCAGACCTGCCCATGCCCAGCAGGCCTGATGTAGACCCAGATGTGGTGGGGTTGGGTGCGGCCAAGGAATCTGCATTTTGCTGAGCTGCCTCCCCGCTGCCCCCAAGCTTGGGCCCTGCAGCAGGACAGAGGCCCCAGGGCTGGAACTTCCCAGAGGCCTTCAGCTTGGGCTTGACTGGGTCCTTCCCATCATAGGCTGTGTCAGATGGTCAGCCCACAAAGTGCACTGGCACCGTCTGTGCCCCACGTGGTGAGCAAGAGGCCTTGCTTTGTGGGTCTCACAGCAGAGTGAGATGGACGGACCCAAACACGCCATCACAGGGAAGGGCACCCCGTGAGCAGATCGATCCTTGTGCACGTGGGGAGCCGGGGCCCCTCCCCCAGGCAGTGCTCATGCCTGCGAAATTGGGAGCTTCGCCCCATCTCACAATCACACAGAGGAGGTCTCAGGTGCCGGGCACAGAACAAGTGTGCTGTGGGCAGGGTGGTCAGAGATTGCCTTGTCCCCGCTCCTAAGACAGGTGGCCTTGGAGCAGTGGGACAGGGCAGGCTGGGAACAGTTCATTTAGAAGGGAAGCCAGTGGGGCAGACTCGGGGGGCAGGCACCACCCCCAGGGGCCGTGGCTACACCCCAGCTGGGCAGCCCACTGTGGTCACTTGGTGGCTCAGAATCACACACCCACGCTCACCCCTTCCTCTCCTGGACCAGGGTCAGGGACCAGCACTGGGGTGGGTGAGTGGGATGCGTCCCTGCTGTGTTTACTTTGGTCTGAGGTTAAGTCATCTGACATCACCACCGACTCCCAAGCTGGTCTCTGTTCCCTGTTCTCGGGAAGCTCCCAGATACCTGGCAGGGCCCAGCCTCTCTGGTAGAAAGCCCTTCCGGACATGACTCTGGGCTCAACGTCAATTCTCCAAATTGAATGGAAGATTTACAAAAGTTTGGGGCTGTTGGCACTTGCTTTGTGTGGGGGACGGGAGAGGGGTGGTGGCTTTAGCAAGCACCTGAGGGCCCCCCTTCACTGGCCCTCCCACCAGTGGCCACTGAGCTGCCACCTCCCCTTCCAAGAGGTATGTTGGGGACCAGCCCCAAGAATCCAAAGATCTTAGACCTCCCCCTGCCCGAGAGAGCAGCCCGCCACCCACCACACATGGCCCTCAGTGGGTCCTTCCCTGGGAAGCCACCTCCCAGGCCCCACTTGAGCACAGGCAGTGCCTGCTCTGGGGCATGTGATAAGCG